CACTCCTCCTACCGCTCCAAGTTGCTGCTCTTCCTCTGATGGTGGTTTAAGTCCAAATGATAGATTCAGGATGTCTACAGCTCCTTTTACCTCTGAGGTTGGGTCTACCGTTCCCTTCTGCAGATCCTCGTGGTTTTTCTCCAAAAACTTCTCTTTGTCTTGAATTGTTTTTATTTTCACCTTCTTTCCCTTGTAGTTGAAGGACAGTCCTTGTGGGAACTCGCACCTAAAAAGTATATTGTTCCTTTTCAGCAGGTAGACCAGATCTTTGTAGAAGGTTTTCACCTCCAGAATATATTTAGGGATGTCCTTGAAGATTTGTATATGGGAATTTTCAATTTCCAAGGCCTTTTGGTAATGTAGTTTTAATATTTTGTCCCTTTCTTCCTTGGATCTAAAAGTAATCAGGCAATCCCTCGGAGTCTTTATGTTCTGTCTCCTGCCCAATCTAAATGCTGTTGTGATCTTAAATTCTTCCTCCTGCAATTCTTCCTGCCAAAAGTCAGAAAACTCTTGTGTGAGAAACTCCACGAGGCTGTCCCCTTCACTTTCAGGAACTAATCTTAATTTCAAGTTTCTCTCCTTTCTCTGTAATTCCAGCAAAGACAAGGCCGCATCATGTTCATATACTTTTTTGGAGATCGGTTCTAATTTTTCCTGTGTCTCTTCAGCAATATTTCTGGCGTCCTCTGCAATTTTACGTGTTGCAGAGTTTTCTTCAATCAGTTTATTTATAGATTCCGTATTAGAAGTCACACTTTTCGTATTCAAGTCCAACCTTGCTGTTAGTTCTGTTAATTTTTGTGAATTTTCTGTACTCTGCTTTGTCAAAGCTTCTAAAGATTGATTTATCTTGAGTAATGCCTGTGTCATTGAATCCATGGAAACAGCTGTCACTTTTTCTTGCCCAGCTGCTCCTGTCGGTGTTAGGCTTGATATTGAGCCTCTTTTCTTTTGTTGTTGTTGTTTTGCTTTAGCTCTAGTGGTTATCTCATCCGCTGGGCCGCTCATGTCCCAAGGACGTTCTCACAGGAGCAGTTCCCTGATGGAAAATCCCACTGTCTTAATCTGTTGCTTTGCAACTGTTACTTCTCAACCCTCTAGAGGGAGCAAAACAAAATGTCCAAGTGAAGGAAACATAGAACTAAGAACAAAGAAACCAGGAAACTTCAATATAAATGCTGCAACACTTTTTCTATGTAGTTTCTCTGTCAACACAGTCCAATATGTTGTGGCAGCAAAGCCCCAAAACTTTATATCAGGTAGAATATCAACTATGTAGCTTTGTAACAAGTTTCTAAAATCAAGTTCTCTGTCCTGGTGTCTTATTTTGGCAGTCCGTTTCAGGGGATTAAGACAGCGGAAAACTTTTCTCTTTCAAATAGGTCATGCAGGTTAATAAAGTTACTTTTTCTCCCCTCTGCCCCTGCTTGCTAGAGAGGAGGTTCGTGTCCGATGCCAGGCTTAAACAGTCCTACAGTATTTTCATTCAGATGCAGCTTTATATTTTCGTTGCTTTATCTGTCATGCAGTCGGGGGAAGGCAGACTTCCTTAATTTTAACCTTTCCCGTTTCCGGCCAAATTTCAGATTTAAATTTTTAAAGTCCAGATAATCGTTCAATCCTACTCACAGATTTTTCGAGCCAATTTCAATTTACAGGAAGGAATCAGCGCTCTCCATTCATGGTGACGCGGCTTCGCTCCGCGAGCTGGGTTGCGACTCTCAGCACCGCACTCTCCCGATGCTGTTCCGGAGCCTTTAAAAAGGCTCTTTCGCAGTAAGGGGGCGCTTCTGGTGCCCACTGAGTCTCCTTGTTCACAGGCTTCCGCGCCTGTGATTTTAGGGGTCCCCCACTTGCCGTAGCGGGTCAGACCCGAACTCGCGAAGGAGTCCTCCTCCGGAGCTCGGAGGGAGGACCGCCATTAAACGCTGGCGCCGACCGGAAGTCCCGATGTCTCTGCTTTTTAAGATGCTGTCTAGATATGCCATCACCTTTCTCCCAAGGAGCAGGCGTCTTTTAATTTTGTGACTGCTGTCACCATCTGCAGTGATCATGGAGCCCAAGAAAGTAAAAGCTCTTACTGCTTCCATTTCTTCCCCTTCTATTTGCCAGGAGGTGATGGGACCAGTGGCCATGATATTCGCTTTTCTGATGTTGACCTTCAGACCATATTTTGTGCTCTCCTCTTTCACCCTCATTAAAAGGTTCTTTAATTCCTCCTCACTTTCTGCCATCAAGGTTGTGTCATCTGTATATCTGAGGTTGTTGATATTTCTTCCGGCGATCTTAATTCCGGCTTGGGATTCATCCAGCCCAGCCTTTCGCATGATGAATTCTGCATATAAGTTAAATAAGCAGGGGGACAATATACAGCCTTGTTGTACTCCTTTCCCAATTTTGAACCAATCAGTTGTTCCATATCCAGTTCTAACTGTAGATGAGGTGATCAGGCACTCCCATTTCTTTAAGAACTTGCCATAGTTTGCTGTGGTCGACACAGTCAAAGGCTTTTGCATAGTCAATGAAGCAGAAGTAGATGTCTTTCTGGAACTCTCTAGCTTTCTCCATAATCCAGCGCATGTATGCAATTTGGTCTCTGGTTCCTCTGCCTCTTCTAAATCCAGCTTGCACTTCTGGGAGTTCTCGGTCCACATACTGCTTGAGCCTGCCTTGTAGAATTTTAAGCATAACCTTGCTAGCGTGTGAAATGAGTGCAATTGTGCGGTAGTTGGAGCATTCTTTGGCACTGCCCTTCTTTGGGATTGGGATGTAGACTGATTTTGCCACCTCTTCTTGATGTCTTCTGCTTCTGATAGGTCCTTTCCACTTTTGTCTTTTATTATGGAAATCTTTGTACAAAATGTTCCTTTCATATCTCCAATTTTCTTGAACAGATTTCTGGTTTTTCCCATTCTATTGTTTTCCTCTATTTCTTTGCATTGCTCGTTTAAGAAGGCCTTCTTGTCTCTCCTTGCTATTCTTTGGAAATCTGCATTCAGTTTCCTGTATCTTTCACTATCTCCCTCGCATTTTGCTTGCCTTCTCTCCCCCGCTATTTGTAAGGCCTCGTTGGACAGCCACTTTGCTTTCTTGCATTTACTTTTCATTGGGATGGTTTTAGTTGCTGCCTCTTGTATAATGTTACGAGCCTCCATCCATAGTTCTTCAGGCACTCTATCCACCAAATCTAAATCCTTAAACCTGTTCCTCACTTCTACTATGTATTCATAAGGGATTTGGGATTTGATTTAGATTGTATCTTACCGGCCCAGTGGTTTTTCCTACTTTCTTCAGTTTAAGCTTGAATTTTGCTATAAGAAGCTGATGATCTGAGCCACAGTCAGCTCCAGGTCTTGTTTTTGCTGACTGTATAGAGCTTCTCCATCTTTGGCTGCAGAGAATATAATCAATCTGATTTTGATGCTGCCCATCTGGTGATGTCCATGTGTAGAGTCGTCTCTTGTGTTGTTGGAAAAGAGTGTTTGTGATGACCAGCTTGTTCTCTTGACAGAACTCTATTAGCCTTTGCCCTGCTTCATTTTGAACTCCAAGGCCAAACTTGCCAGTTGTTCCTTTTATCTCTTGACTCCCTACTTTAGCATTCCAATCCCCTATAATAAGAAGAACATCCCTCTTTGGTGTCATTTCTATAAGGTGTTGTAAGCCTTCATAGAATTGGTGAATTTCAGTTTCTTCAGCACCAGTGGTTGGTGCAGAAACTTGGATTACTGTGATGTTAAAAGGTCTGCCTTGTATTCGTATCGAGATCACTCTATCATTTTTGAGACTGCATCCTAGTACAGCTTTTGCCACTCTTTTGTTGACTATGAGGGCCACTCCATTTCTTTTACAGGATTCTCGCCCACAGTAGTAGATGTGATGGTCATCCGAACTAAATTCGCCCATTCCCATACATTTTAGTTCACTGATGCCCAGGATGTCAATATTTATTCTTGCCATCTCATTTTTGACCCCATCCAACTTACCAAGGTTCATGGTTCTTACATTCCAGGTTCCTATGCAATATTTTTCTTTACAGCATTGGACTTTCCTTTCGCTTCCAGGCATATCCGCAACTGAGCGTCCTTTCGGCTTTGGCCCAGCCGCTTCATCAGCTCTGAATCTACTTGTACTTGTCCTCCGCTCTTCCTCAGTAGCATGTTGGACGCCTTCCGACCTGAGGGGCTCATCTTCCGGCGTCATAACTTTTATATGCCTGTTGTCTTTGTCCATGGAGTTTTCTTGGCAGGGATACTGGAGTGGCTTACCGGTTCCTGCTCCAAGTGGATCACGTTTGGTCAAAACTCTCCACTATGACCTGTCCATCTTGGGTGGCCCTGCACCACATAGCTCATAGCTTCTCTGAGTTATTCAAGCCCCTTTGCCACGGCAAGGCAGTGATCCATGAAGGGGGCCATCCAAAATAGGCTTATCTTTATTCTAGACTGATCACTGAATGCAAAAATTGGTTTCTAAGCAGTGGACAAATGAGAACAAATAGTGGCCTGGATTCACCTAACCAGCGCCATCCGCTGGAAAATGGAGCCTGCCCCCCATTCCTCCCCTCCCCCTCCCCCTCTCCATGCCCCCATGAACCCCTTGAATTTGGCCCTAGGGAATTGGGAGGGAACCTCCCTAGAACAACTCACGAGGAGAGGAGAAAGTGGATCCTTCCATCGGGAAAACTGGAATGCTTGTGTAGGCAGAGTGACTTGAAAACCACAAGGTGGAGTACCACCTATTTGCTTAAAGACGGATACCCATAATTAAAAGGCAGAATAAAATAAGCATCCATAAATAAAATGTGCAGCTAGCAATCCTATTGAAACAACACCGCAACCCAGCCAGATGGGCGGGGTATAAATATATTATTATTATTATTATTATTATTATTATTATTATTATTATTATTATTTACAGGAAGGAAACAACAGAGCATTGTGTAGCAGATCATATTTCTGCTGTCTCAGAGGAGAACATTTCCCTTTTTCTTTTAGGGTCCAGTCTGCTTGGAAGATGTCACCATTCGTTTCACGGACGAGGAGTGGGCGTTCCTGGATCCTGACCAGAGAGCTCTGCATAAGGACGTCATGGAGGAGACTCGTGGGATCGTGGCCTCTCTTGGTAAGGCTCCCTGTGGGATCATCATATCAGCCTGGAAATTCAAAACATACCTCTATGGAACCAACCTCATATATTTTCACAGAGCTCAACAGCGCCCCCTGCAACACCTGGGAACCTAACACCCCCACAATAAACAGTAAGTTACAGTTTTTTCTTTGAACAATCTTCCTCAAATTATTCCTTTTTCTACCACGATCAGGCTGGTCTGAACTGCCCAGGCCATCTTCAATGTCAGCTTCAGAATTGTTAGGAAAGATAGGTTGTGAGGTTTAGAGCTTACAGGGTTAACAGCTCAGAGTGTCCTACATCTGGGGAGGAGCTTTCTCAACATCCAGGAAAGCTGTTTCTTCGTTCTTTCTGACTTTCGTTTTCTGCTGAGACATGGAAGACGCAACGTCTGCATCTTCCGATGGTTTATCTTGCTGTACGTACAATAAAGCTTTCTAATTTAGAGGAACAGCAGTGTATTGGACCCTGAGTTCTGCAAGCTCACACACACAAGCAGCACTCACTGTGCCGGCTCTGCTACAAGTCCAGGAAATGTGGAGCTTTCAGGTTTTCTGGTTTTGTATTTGCTCCTGTCAGTCTTGGGTTGATCAAAAACATTAGGAAGAACTTCCTGACAGTAAGAGCTGTTTTGACAGTGGAATTTGCTGCCAAGGAGTGTGGTGGAGTCTCCTACTTTGGAGGTCTTTAAGCAGAGGCTTGACAACCATATGTCAGGAGTGCTCTGATGGTGTTTCCTGCTTGGCAGGGGGTTGGACTCGATGGCCCTTGTGGTCTCTTCCAACTCTATGATTCTATGAAAGAAATGACTGACAATGGAGATGGAGGGGATGCCATGGTTGGGCCAAACAAAATTCATCCCAGAGAAGAGCTAGACTTATTGAATCTCAGGTAGTAGTAGCAGTGTGATGATATGATGATGATGATGAAGATGGTTTACAAACTTAATCTTTTCCAGAACAGGACTGTTCTTAAATCAATGTAACACTGTAGTAGAATCATAGAATCATAGAATCATAGAGTTGGAAGAGACCACAGGGCCATCGAGTCCAACCCCCTGCCAAGCAGGAAACACCATCAGAGCACTCCTGACATATGGTTGTCAAGCCTCTGCTTAAAGGCCTCCAAGAAGGAGACTCCACCAAACTCCTTGGCAGCAAATTCCACTGTCGAACAGCTCTTACTGTCAGGAAGTTCTTCCTAATGTTTAGGTGGAATCTTTTTTCTTGTAGTTTGGATCCATTGCTCCGGTCCACTTCTCTGGAGCAGCAGAAAACAACCTTTCTTCCCTCCTCTGTGTGACATCCTTTATATATTTGAACATGGCTATCATATCACCCCTTAACCTCCTCTTCTCCAGGCTAAACATACCCAGCTCCCTTAGCCGTTCCTCATAAGGCATCGTTCCAGGCCTTTGACCATTTTGGTTTGCCCTCCTCTGGACACGTTCCAGTTTGTCAGTGTTCTTCTTGAATTGTGGTGCCCAGAAACTGGACACAGTACTCCAGGTGAGGTCTTGACCAGAGGCAGATACAGTGGCATTATTACTTCCCTTGATCTAGATGCTATACTCCTATTGATGCAGCCCAGAATTGCATTGGCTTTTTAGCTGCCGCGTCACACTGTTGGCTCATGTCAAGTTTGTGGTCAACCAAGACTCCTAGATCCTTTTCACATGTACTGCTCTCAAGCCAAGTGTCACCCATCTTGTATTTGTGCCTCTCATTTTTTTTGCCCAAGTGCAATTCTTTACATTTCTCCCTTTTAAAATTCATCTTGTTTGTTTTGGCCCAGTTCTCTAATCTGTCAAGGTCGTTTTGAAGTGTGATCCTGTCCTCTGGGGTGTTAGCCACCCCTCCCAGTTTGGTGTCATCTGCAAATTTGATCAGGATGCCCTTGAGTCCATCATCCAAGTCGTTGATAAAGATGTTGAATAAGACCGGGCCCAAGACAGAACCCTGTGGCACCCCATTAGTCACTCTTCTCCAGGATGAAGAGGAACCATTGATGAGCACTCTTTGGGTTCGGTCAGTCAGCCCAGTTACAAATCCAAGCCAGTTACAAATCCAAATAATAATATTTTTTATTTATACCCTGCCCATTTGGCTGGGTTGCCCAAGCCACTCTGGGCGGATTCCAACACATATATAAACATGAAACATAAATAATAGTCTGATCTATTTATGTAGCCAAAATTGTGGAAACCTTTTGCACACAGCAGCAACATGACATGGAGCGGAATCCTGTTGAAGTATAAAATAGAATATATATATATATGTGTGTGTGTGTGTGTGTAATGTTTCCAAGGGGTTGCTCGAGAGCAAGCAGGCAAATATCTCCCTGCTTAGCTGTGAAGCCTTGCTTTTGCTGCCAAAATAAACCTTATCCATCCGGAGCGCCACTCTCCGTGGCTGGCTCAGTCGTTGGCAGAATCCGTGAGTGGGCGGTTCCTAAACTTTCCCCAGCAAAGCAGCTTCTTGACTCCCAGTCTGCGCCTCCCCTCTCTGCGCGGGATGCTTTCTGCGCAAGGAGGGTGTGGGTAACAGAGGACCCCTCTCCTCCCCACTTTGCCCAGGCAAGTTGTCCTGGCACTGTCTTGCCTCTTCCGACTCCTGCAGCGCCGCTCCACTGGAGGCGTCTTTATTCTCCTCCGTTGAAGAGGAGCTACTTCCCACTATCCCTGGAGGCTCTCTGTAATCCATTCGGCTTTTCCTCTCTCCCTCCTGAACCGAGGGCAGTTCCCTGACAATGTGCTTCAGCATCTGGGAAAAGATCACCTGAGGAACGCTTCAGTTTGCGCGCAAGTCTTTCATTTATGCATTTTAGGGCATTACATCCCCATTAATGATGTAAATTTTGCCCACACCTTTTGCTGCCATACAACCCCAGATCAACACAATATCTGAGTGTTTCGTGGTCGGTGTAATGCAAGTGGATGTAAATCTTATTGATTCTTCTCCTCGTGTATGTTATGCCATCACTACCAAGCAATGAGATTTGGGTCTCATCGCTCCAAATAACACTGTTCATTGTTCAGCTGTCCAGTTAACATGGGTTTATCTTTTCAACCTTTGCTTGTGAGATGACAATGGCTTATCCTTAGATTATAACATTTTGACAGTCCTTGACTCTAACTTCCATTAAATTGCGCCATGTCATTGTATACACCCAGAAGATTTTCTTCTGTCATGTAGGGACAGTCTCTCCACTCGTCCATCGTTATTTGCCTTTGTGCACCTTTCCTGCCTTTACCGGTCTGATTTTATAGTGACTAAGTCTCCTGATACCTCTTCAAAAATATATAATGGCCAGTCTGGTTAAGTTTTTCCTTATCTTTCATCAGTTTCTTCATAACTGTAGCATTGTTCATTAAACAGTACAATTTTACATTGCTTTCTGGATGACCAGTCAACTCTTTGTGCCATTTCTATATTTTATTATGTTTTACAAGAACACAAAAAAAAACCAACCACAAAAAGACACA